TGCGGGGAGCAGTGGGCGAGACACATGTGGGTATCTACACCATGTGGATATCTCCCTGGCTGGCTGGGAATTGAACCGTGCTGCAGAGGCTACGGACAGCTTCACAGTGCTACGCTCAGCCCGCTGCACCACCGGGGAGGCTCTCTAGCTTAGCTCTTTTCTGAGTATTTTATTCTTACTGATTTTAGAGTGATAAGTGAGTAAAAGAATGTTTTCCTAACCAGCCAGATGAGTTAATGAGCCCTGACAGTTAATAGAGTAGAAATGCCAGTACAATTAAATTACCTTTGCATCCACATCTTAACTATATAAAAAAGACAATTATGAAACATTTAAAATACTAGATATAACCAATCTTTGGTAACTATTGAACCCAAAGCTAATTTATTTTATTTGTTAATAATTTCTATAGCTTCTTCCATTCCAAAAGTCTTGTTAGTAACTTTCTTGTCAATTATAGTAAAGATTCTGATCCCATTTTTGATGTTTGACTATGGTCAATTTACAAACACTGGCATTCCTGTTTCTTCTTCTAAAAGGACAATCAGATAATGTTTCCTTGTGTGATATCAGTGGGACGTTCAAACCACCCAAGCCCCATCCCAGAAACTTCACCACATCTGTGCCCTCATTCATCTTAACACCCTAGATAAGTCTCTCTTCCTTTCCTCTCAAGCCATAGTTGGATATAGTTGGGCAAAAACTTTTGCTGATCCTTCTGGTGAATATGTGAATGCATCGGTCTCAATATCCAAATGAATTATGGAGTCCATCCAGCCTCCGTGGGTTGACTACAGCAGAATTTGATTTGTATAGTGATGACATAAGTACAATTCTGATCAGACAGTTGGTGTTGCTGATTACTAAATCTCACTATTTCCCTAAGCAATTTTACTGCTTTATTTTTTGAAAAATACCAATTAATTTTCAATTGAAGAGACACTTATAATTAAATTGCCCAATAAGAGCAAGTTGGTAAGTCCTTTCCTGAAGGAGGGAAGGATAAAGGCCTAAGATATCACTTAGTTATTTCTTCCTTTGTATAAAGGCTGATAGTAATGAGCACTTAGAGATTGATAATAACAAAAAACATGGGAAATAGCTGTAAATTAGGTGAGAAAATGAGAAATTATATACCTATAAACATACTCATGGATATCCAGAGAAATCAGTATGCAAAAGAACACAGATCATGGCAAAGAATTATTGGTGGGTTGAAAAAAAGGAAGCACTGACAATAATGTGTATCTTATAAAAAGCTTTTATGCAAAGAAGGGAAGAATATAAAGAGGGGACAAATTTTTTATAGGTCTATGAAATTACAAAGCCTGTGCATTTTATAGCTGTGCTGTAAATAATCTAAAGGAAAACATTTTTTTTTCTTCTCTTATTTACCTTTTTTTTTCTTCCTTCTTCATTTTCACATATGTGAACCTTGTTCCATTAACAAGAAAATGCAACAAAATGAAACTTGTTGCAATTACTCTCAAAACTGTGTCCAAACTAAGTGAGAAGGAATTGTAAATTTTAGAAGTGAATGTTAAAAGTGTTGTATTGTTATTTATATTATAACTCATAAAAAGACAATAATAAGTTAAAAAAAATCCAAATAACAAGATTAGTGTTCAGAAGCAGAGATCTGAACATAACTCGTCAGATTTCTACCACTGTTTTCTATTTGAATTTCAAGTTTCAAAGATTAGCTAAGATTAGTTACTATTTCTAAACCCTCATTTTCCATTCAGCATCAGCATTGACATGTCTGTTTAGCCACCCATCTCTAGTGCTTTCTACTATTTTATCTGAGCAAATGTTGCCTCTTGGGGAAGTCTTAGCAATAAGTGTATAAATATACTAGCAATGATTATATAAGTAAAGAACACCATAACTTAGTTCATAACTTACTTTGCCTGGTGCTATTACTTTACATTAGTCAATTTTTAAAAGGAAGGAAGAAATCATCTTCTCTTTCTACTTTTCTTCCTGTTTATCCTTCTAAATTTAGTTTCTTTAATTTCTAAGGAATCAAAACAATGCTGCCAATGCACATGTGACTTGAAGCTTTGTTCAGTTTTTCTTAAAGACCATGTGGTTCTTAAAATGCAGACATGTGTGATAGGTTTGATAGGTTTTGTAAACTAAAAAGTTTACTAGTTATTTATACACTAAAAAACTTGAGGCAATTATAGCCAAGAGATAAATGTGAAAACAAGTGCCTTGTTTGCCTTGTCTTATGTGATCTAACTCTTAGGTCAAGCTAACTTGACTTCTATGCTAGAGATAAGCTAATACCTCATTGTAAGACGTCAAGAAGATGTCGGACATCATCTACATAAGTTTGAATCTTTGCCTACTGGAAAGATGGAATGGAGAGACACACAAACACACACACACATACATACATAATTTTGTGTTTACTTTTAGAAATATATTTATTTCAAAATATTTAAAGTTATCAATTTGTTCTGTGATCTCCATAAGAGAAGATAGGTTTTATTTTTGAAAAATATGTTTTGCTTCCCTCTTAAGATCATAGGTAGACTATGGGGAGAGACGAGGATTCTATTTCTAACCTACCTCTTAGATATTAATGTTAGAATTGTTGACTTTGTAAATAAAAGCAACAGAAAGAATTGGCATGTAGAAAGTTCGAGAAAAAGAGTTCTCTGCCCACCTGTAACTCTGCAGGTGCCTCTTTTTTCTTTGGTTTTCCTAATAAACCTGTCATTTGAAATGTCAAGAAAAAGAGAAAGTTTTAGCAAAAGAGTTTGGTTAAATAGATACCTTTTTATTTTATATTTTGGACCTTAGACTGAGAATTTGAAAAATAAATATGTCAGTCTTGGGAACCCTCACTAACTTTCCTTCTCACTGCACTGCACAAAGGGAATTGCCATGTCTATATTTTGTTGGTTGCATGGGAAAAATATACATATATGGAGGGGTAAGATGTTTTTGTTAAGTTTCATGAATGGGGAAGCATCTGGATGTTGAGGATATCAAAGAAGCTGCCTGAAGGTCTGAAAGTGAGTTTTTGGTATCCTGTCTTGGACAGAGTTGGGTGGGAGACAGATAAGCTTTCTATGAGATGGGAGTATAGAAGACCCAAATCAGTGGAGAATGACTGATTTCTCCTTTCACAGGATATCAGTGCTGCCTGAGGGGGGGTGCAGGGAACAACTTATCATTGATGATGCTCTGTGGGGACCACAATGTTCATGCATTTGTTGTCTACCTGAGGGATGGCTGTTGTTGCCTCTTATATTGGTGGTATGTTTTATTTTTTTTTTCCTTTTCATTTTACTCATCTGTGATATTGTGGAAAGTGTAAGGTAGAATAAAAAATGATCTAACCCTAAGGAAAAGGCAGCTCAAGAGGTTATTGGGTGAACTAAGGCATGCCTTACTCTCTTTTATTTAAAAAAAAGATTTATTTATTCATACAAGAGCTGGGGTACAGGCCAGAGGTGTGGGGGCTGAGAGGACTCACCAGAGACAGAGTGGGGAACAGAGCAGGCAGATTGATTGAAATACACTGCTGAGGGGAGCAGCAGGCAAGTCAGGAGAGGTCTGCTGCGCCATGTAGGTAGCTCCCTGTCTGGGGATCTAACTTGTTCTGCAGTAGCTGCGACTATCTTCATAGGTTGCGTCTTAATCCCTTGTGCCACCAGGGAGACCCTGCCTTTGTCTTTAACTTAGAAAAAACCTGGTCTGCACCACAGAGAATAAATTATGTGAGGTGTCACTCATTTTGAGGGAGAAAGTGATAGAATAAGAGGAAAGGCCAAAGAGAGACACACTGATTTTTGGAGTGTATGAAGGTATGAGGGCCAGAGCCATTTAATTAACTGTCAGAAGCAAAAATAACTGCCAGATCAGGAGTTAGAAGTATTGGGTGGGGGCAGAACAGAGCACTCACAAGTGTTCCATGGGTAACGGCTGCTCTCATGCAGAAGTCTACCATTTCCAACCCACTCTGGAGCAATGGTCTGGATAAGGTGGCTCGACACTTCTGTTGAGTTTTCTGGTCATGGTGGCTGGGAATAAAGAAGGTTAGGGCAAAAGAAGGAAGCATCTGTCTTCTCTGGCACTACCAGGCTTTCACTGCAGCTGTAGTCTGTATGTATGTGGGAGTCTTTTGTACAATCCCTAACACTTTGTAAATGTTCAACATCCATGTGTGAGTGTGTGTCTATGCATGCAAGCACAGGGGCATGAATGAAAACATAAACTTTAATTTCTTTAAACTTTAATTTTTTCCTTCTCAGTTTACCTGACTACAAGATGACACCATGCTGTATCTCCTGGAGGTACCCTGATGGAAAGCACCAGAATTGCTTTTATCTCCTGTAATACCTATACTTTTCCTCTAGGTATTGCCCTTAAATGTATTATATGCAGGTCCAAATAAAGGGGGTATAGATGATCAGAGGCAGGATTGAAAGCACAAGAAGAGTTCTTATTGGTGTCCTGAGGTACAATTGCTTCCCTCCACTTACTCATGCAGGTCCCCCATATTTCTCCTCAAAATAAGACCTACTTGGAAAAGGACGACATCGAGCAAAGGGCATAAGTGGGAACTCCCTCTCCCTGCAACCGATCATCAGGGACTCTCTCAGTGCAGAGATTCAAAGAGAGCAAGAAGTCTTGGTTCACTGTCACCTTTGCCAGCTCAGCTTTAGAGAGCCATCTAGAGGAGAGAGAAAAGTGACTCTTGTTGTGAAACAAGGTAAGGGCTGAGGGTTCATTAGGAGGGTAGCTTTAAAGGGGGCTCAGAAAACAGTGCTTCCTTTGGAAATGCTTACATGTCTTGACTGGCCAAGAAATTCTCAGCTTGCTTTTTCCTGGTCTCCTGGGATACTGCAGATCTCGTAGGAATTACTAAGAATCCTATAATTTTTTGCAAGAAAGAACCATTTCAAACACTTATCAAGGTCATCTTGGAGCTGAATTTTCTTGCTTCCTACTGTATTAGTATCCTGACTGCAATAGGGAACCCATTAATAAGCAGAAAAAATACATATAGAAGCTATAGAGAGGATACTAGAATGCTTGACAAAGAGAATCAGAAAACTTATGTCTAATAGGGAACTAGGGAGTATGGAAAACTATGATTTACAGATGGGATTCTGTGTGGGTTAATTCTTCAGGTAAATCTGGGGGTTGTAAAGGAAGCTGGGATAAATGTAGGGCAAAAATGGCACTCAGGAATTAAGTGTGGTGTCTCCCCTTGCTTCCCAAAATCTTTCAGCAAGACCATTCCTTACAAGGGTTGTGATTTGCTCCCTGGCTAGCTTAAATACTGAATAATTTTTCCCTTCTCTCTCCCACCCCCATAAAGACAGTCTGAAAGCCAAACTTAAAGGGTTGAATAGAATAGAGAACTTGCTCCTTAGGTTGTGTGATTCATAGTGTATGTATCTTCTCACCCGATTTAATAGTCCTGTAAGGATGGCCTGAAACTATTTTAGATCTTTACAAAGTAAGGCTTTTCCCTACTTGTTCTCTGGGTCCTGGCTTAAGAGAGTAGCTTCTGTTATTATTCCAGTAGCACCTGGTACATAAAGAACTATAAGGGGAGAGGTACTAACTTTAAAAAGAATTAGTGATGTTCTTGTCTAGAGGCCCAGGCAATCCTCTAAGGAACAACAAGAGCAGTAGATGCCACAAAACTGACTAACAAATCAGAGAAGAAGGAGGTGAAATGTCAAAGCAGAGGGGGAAGGATGGGAGGCAGCAGCTGTAGGAGAGTGGGAGAGAAGTAACGCAGACTCCTGTGGGGAAGCAGGATTCTGCCTTAGGGCAGAGCTGAGCTACATGCAGACTGAATTAGGGACGGTGTGGCCCTCTAGCCTCTTGTTGGAGTACCTGATCGAGTATGCAAGGCTGACATGAACTGCCTCTGAAAAGAGAGTATTTCTGTCTATAGGGATTTCTATGGGTAAGAAAATGAAAGTAAAAATATGTTTTCTCTCTCTTCAGATAATACATGCATAGGAAATTAAATGGTAGTGAATGAATAATGCTAAAGCCTAGAGGAAAATGTTGTAGAGAAGAGGAGAGAATTCCAAGTGCTAAGCCAGCAGCAGAGGAGAGCCCCACCATTGCTGGACAATTTGTAAGTCCCTGCTAATGGGACATCTGAGCCCATCTAGAAATCTGGTTTCAACCCAGGCTGTCACTCCTGCCACTGGTTAGAATGCCCACCCTCACCCAGGCATTTTCCTGCCGAGGTATTAAGGCACTGGCTTCTTTGTAGGTCTCCATTCAGGAAAAATCTGGAGCTAGTGACCTGTGGAAATGCACAGTGGCTCAGACTATTTCTGAGATTATTTGATCTAAATATTTTTTAGGATCTCAGGATAAAGGCAGATTGCCTGGAACTTTCAACTGTGCAACTAAGCAAAATGTTACCTTTTTGACTGATACCCACGTGAACTATTTCCATGACAATAATTCCTTTAATCATACACTTTTGTTCCACCTCTGACAGCCCAAGTGTTGTGAGATAGTTACTGAGAGCAGAAGGGAGAGGACTAGAAAATGTTGTTTTCCTGACTACTTTAAGGAGATCCCAAACCCCCTTAAAAGGGGAAAAAAAAAAAAGCTCAGTTTTCTTTTCCCTCTTGTAGGGAATCTTTGAGGGTATCTTTGAGTTTGGTCCCTTGGAGGCTAGCCCACTTCATACATCACTACCATGTTTATATCCTCAAAGTAATTGATGCCTCAAGATCACCTGTAAGCTGGGTCCAAAGAGCATGGAAAAGATAACCTTGGATTATAGACTTCTGAGTCCTCAGACTGGCAAAAGCTTGGAGGGTCCCTTGTCTTGTAGTGTCCTTGACCTGAGAGAGCCTTCACTATCACAAGAAGCAGAAGCATGAGTTTCTATTTCCAAGTTGTTTCTGTGATTGACTAGAACAGGGAAGAAAGAGGCATTGTCTTCTTGGGAAGAATGTCCCCAAATGTGAATAGGGCAGCCAAACTTCCTTAGGGTAGAAAGGCCATAGAGTATCCCTGGATTTGGTGAGAGCCAGAATTTGAGCTTGTCAGCAGGATGTCTTTGAGACAGGCAAATGTGCAATTGGAGTAAGGAAAAATATCAAATCTAGCAGCAAAAATTCTTTATCATTGAGGGTTCAGGAACCAATTCTCTTAAGTGAGATACCAGAGTTCTGGTCATAATTTGAGAGAGGATCAAATTTGTTCATGTTTTGCCATTCATCAAGTTGCTCTAAACTTATTTCTTAAGCAACATGTTTTATCCTTGCAGATTTTGGAAACAGGGCTGGGAACAGAGTCTGAACCTCAAGCCAAAAAACCTATTCTACAGAGTCTTTCTCACCTTAGCCCAGCTGAGGTTTATAGCTTGAAATCAGAAAGGCTCAGAAGAGCAGAACACAGACCCAGTATTGAGGTCAAGAGAAGAGTAAGAACTTTGGAATAAGAAACATTAGAATAAAAATTCAAATGTGTTTTAACTTATTAGACCTCATTTGTGTTTCTTGTTTCCCATATCTCATTCCTTTTGTTTATAAAAAGGAGCAGTAATACATGCGAGGCATTGTTGTAAAATGTATTATGTATGGATGGTGACACTAGGCTCAGTGTTTTGCAGACAGTACATTCCTGAAATGGTAGGTATTGTTTTCATATGAGTCCTAATATGCTCTTTTGAGTATTGTTTCCAGAATTTTTTTTTTTACATGTCACAATTGTTTTGATAAAGTAAGATGAATTTGAAGAGGCAAACAGGGATGGTGATGAAACCGCTTTGGATGGGACTTGTTTGAAGGATCTGAAGAGATAAAAGAAAGATTGGCTGTATACATGCAGAATCCTGTGTTATTGGAGACACATACAGGGCCAGAGGACTTTCAAGAGTCAAATTTTAGTACCCTGTAAAGGAATTCAACAGAATTTGTGATGCAGATGAGTGTAGCAAATGAGGAGCTCCCTGTCAATATCTATAGACTGGGTTGTTCCTCTATTGAGCAAATGTTGTTGCCAGGCATACAACCAGATATAACCATCAACACTTTAGGTATATTACAATTTATAAATTCAGCTCGTACATATTTCATGATCCTGATCCACTTTTCACTCACTGAATATAACAGACGATATTGGTGAATGCACATTACTCAGATGAATCACTTTAATCCCTCTGTGTTATCTGAATGCATTTAGTCAATGAATGATTATTTAGTGCCTTCTGTGTATACCACCCTGTGAATAACAAACATGGTCCCTCTTCTCAGAGCTTACATTCTACTGTGGATGATTGACCATACAATAAGTCAAAATATATTCTTTATTACTAAAGAAATAAAAAAGTGAAATGAGATACTGTGTACACGACTCAATAGCTGTAATATAAATATTAGATTATTGAGTACTAGTAGATGTATTATACATATGCATTATAGATTTTGTTGCATATACATTAGTGTAAACATTTGAAACTACAGATTCAGCAGACCTGCTCTCTGTGTGTGTGTGTGCTTGCATGCAATGAAGGAAGATATTGAAGGAAGGTGGTTTATTTTTGGATTTCATTTTAAGAGCTTAATTGTCTTGTTTTCAAAAATACTTTCTCAATTCATTAAATTGATACATGGTCAGATAAAAGACTGATAATATTATAATGTGATAATAATCAAGTTTTACTTATCTTCAGGCTCCATAACGTATTTGTAAAAATAACTATATTGGTTAGTATAGTTTAATGAAATCAAGAGAGCATATTAATATCAGTATTTCATGTGAACTCACTAGTGAAATGCTGCAACCCAAAAGGACTTCATCAAATATGTCACCTGCCTGAAGATCAAACAGAATCAGTTTCTAAAAATCTTGATCTGATATATGCTTATAAAGAAGAAGAGATGACAGTCCTCAGTCATCACAGCACTAACTTCATTTACTTAAGAAGGAAAGATAAATGACAGGTAGAGAAATTTTCTGTCAAGGCTTGGAGACCTTGAGATGAAAGTGAAACTTTTTTTATATAACCAAAGGTCAGATCCTTAATACTTTTAAGAAGCCCTTCTTCATGGCATCTTTTCATTCCTTAGTGTCAAAATGAAATTGAATGAGTCTGGAATTTTCTCTCAGTTTTAATGGACTCAGTACCTCAAATAGAGGAGGTGAAAAGGCTAAAAAATATGAACTGTGAGTAATTAGGCTCTAATGATGGATTATTTAAAATAAGGTAATCATCTTTGTCTTTATGTCTAGTATCTCTTTTAAACATTAGAAATTTCCATAATCTTTGAAGATAGAATAGATTTGACCAGTGTATTATACAGTTGTTATTTATTCATTCTAAACTGTTTTTTACTCATGTCTCTATGGCTGTGTCTTCTATTTTAGTGGAATACCATGATCACTCGAATAATTTCAAAACCAGTTTCTCACTGATGCATATTATGAAGGCTAAATACAACTTGCAGTGGACAACAGAGTGAGACTAGACAATAAGTTTCAAGGAAATTATTTTGAGTAAATGAACCTCAACAAGGTAGGACAACATAGCTGGGGTACGGCAGGAAGAGAGAGTAGCTGGAGCTAAACTCTCACACACTTGCAGGTTGCAGGAAGGATTTTTTTTTTAATTTAATGGAAATCATGCAGGGTTTTCATAGTGCATTGCCTTTTGAACCATGTTTTAATAACATCATTATGCATAAGAAAGAACAAGGTAACTATTTTCCTTGAAGCTCAGGAGCCTTACAAAGGAAAAAAGATGTTTTCAGTAAAATGAATAATCTGTATGTTAATAATCTGTATGCTTGCTTATGTCTTTCAATGCCCTTGCCTTTTTACACTCTGCTGGTCACTCTCAGTATTGCTCCCTTTTCTGCCTTTTTTCTTTTTTTCTGTCTTTGTCTTTGCCTCTGAAAATAGACCTCCTACACTCAACAGCTCAGTGGGCACAATTTCATCATGATTTACAAAACTGTTGCTTTAATTCCTTGCTCATCTCTAACTAGATTTGGTCCTGGAAATACTTAAACCATTAAATAAATTTATCTCAAAATGCATTTGTAGAATACTTGTCCAATGAAGTGTTCTTTTAAGTGATGGCAAAATTAAATGTCTAGAAAATTCTATTTCTTTCAAGCATTTCTTCATGTTAGGTTACTCCTAATAAACATTAACTTATTAAGTCATTATAGACATTGTACAGTAAAATTATTCATATTTTATCAATCTTTTAAAAAAGACTTTGACATAGAAAACATTCATTTGAGGGGGTGGGGATACTGTCTCATAGACTTCAGCCTCTGGTTTCCTTGCTGGTATTTTCATACAATATGCTACATTGTTATGTAAGTTAGAGGAGTTTAGAAATAGTTATTTTAAAAATATGTACACCATGCATATTTTTATATGCCTGTACACATATGCCTATGATTATAATTTTCCATGCATTGCTATGACTTATAAATGTCCTATCTAACTTTGGGAAATTAAACATTTAACATTCTTTAGATTTACATGTGCTCATACCCTATAAACCTAGTTAATACCAGAATTTTAGATGCCACAGATGATCTCCCACTCTCCCATTTGTCTTATGTGTCAAAAAATGAAAGGCAAAATATTTGGCAGTTTATAAGATACTATGCTGATTTTGTGTCTTTCATCGAGAAGTATAAATTGAGTGTGATTTTTGAAATAGACATGACATACTTTAGGTTCCTACACAGGAAAAATGAAAAAATTTAAAAAGAGGCAGTTTCATATCTCAAACATTTATGTTCTGTAAAACATTGACATGAGTAAATTTGTTCTGGGAATATTATCATAATAATTGTCTTTATTTTCTTCTTTACAATAGCAAAATCATGATTCAAAAATCAATAAAGAGCTAGACCAGCAATCTAGATGTTGATTGATTCAGAAACCGCTTACCTCACTACATAATTCCACTACCAAAAAATTATTGCATAAATATATGCAAACTCAAATCCATGATCCCCTAAAGAATTACTGATTTCCATGAAAAAAAAAAAAAGGAATATGTGCAGCAGAGCATGACCAACTAAATGTACTTCTTTTGTGCAATTTGTGAGGCATGAACATTCTCTATGGGAAACTATGCAAAACATTCATGTAAATTCTATTGAGTTTGTGACCAGTCACCCATAAAATGTAATTATGTCTGAATATGAGATGACCTGATCATCCTATCAAAAATGGTTTTAGAGCACAATGTAAGTGTAACTGGATTTACTGTAGAGAAATAAAATATAGAGGAGGCTTTCTCAGTTTTTGGGAGAGAAATACAAATAATTGAATCTAGGATAAGATTAAATTTACCCAGTCTACATGAAGACTCAAGACAAGACATACTTAGATAAGTAATGTTGTTTAAGTATTTCATTTTTGGAAATGGTCAAAGAGAGATACACTTAGTCTGAGGGAAAAAATATTCTCAATGCATTGCAGTAGTCCTGTAACTGCTCTCAGCCAAACAGAAATGTCACAGTAGATATATTCATATGGGCCTAGAGTAGAGAAATTATGAGGCATGGGAGACTGTCTAACAGGCTGCTAGAGGCATCTTACTATGTTTTGACAAGAAAATCTAAATAAGCAGATTTTTCTTATTTAATCTTTTCTTCATTTAATCTTTTTCTTTATGCTGAATGTTCTATTATTAGTTGTATACTGTCCCTGGTAAGAACAATGTGGTCAGTGATTGATTTCAGGGTGGGTGGGGAAACCCAATTTTGGGGCTCACATACTTTGATTGAACTGATGTTCATAATTCATATATATTAATATATTTCTAAGGGTTTGTATATATCTATATATAGAGATAGGTAGGTCGGCAGGTGAATGGAGGGATAGATAGATAGAAAGGTAGATATCCCGATTAGGTAGATACTGGTAGATTAGGTAGATTACTTCAAATAACAGCAAATTTGCATTAATCTAATAAATATCTAATATAAATTCATGATTTTAAATTTCTGTTGATCACTGGGTAGGACATGACTGAAACTGATTTCATTATCTGAACTTTGTCTAGTCTCTAATTTTCATACAATTAATAGCAATTTTATTTATTGATAACCCATATAATGTAGTCACATAATGTCTTTATCTCCTTCTTTTCATATATTCACTACCAAAGCAAAACATTTTTACTTCCTGAACACAAACACAACATGGTACTGAGCATTTGCCTTAATCAACTCTGCCCAACAGGAGACATGAAAATTTTCGTAAATATTTATGTACAGTAAGACAAATGACACATAAAAGTAATGCACATAGTGATATGAGAGCAAAATGGATGTTTAAATAAGACTTGGTGAAGTTTTCTAGGGGAAAAAAAAACAAACTTTTTAAGTTGTACCTTGAAGAATGAATAGGAGGCAGCTTTTCAGGGAAATTAAACTGGTGAAAACATCCCAGGTAGCAGAGAAAGTTTATGGAAGAAAGGGAACCTTAAACTTAATGAGGGTGTTTATTTTATTTATTTT